CGGTGCCCAGCACCGGCTCTGATTGCCCCTCAGGGCTTCTCCACCTCCCCCTGCTCCTGAGGGGTGATCAGGGCCAGCAGCTGCCACTGGCACTCGCTGACAGTGCCGGTCCTGCTCAAAACCGCTGCTGGCACTGGGCCCAATCACTCCGTGGCCCACAGTTCCCTTCCAGGTGCACAAATTCGTGCACTGGGCCCCTAGTGTGTGTGTGTGTGTGTGTGTGTGTAAATTTTTTTTTAAGTGAACATCCTTGGGCCACGTCCCAGGTCAAGAATTTGAGGACTGCCGAAACTAGTTTGGCTCAGTGGATAGAGCGTCGGCCGGCAGACTGAAGGGTCCCAGGTTCGATTCCGGTCAAGGGCATGTACCTGGGTTGTGGGCACATCCCCAGTAGATGTGCAGGAGGCAGCTGATCGATATTTCTCTCTCATCGATGTTTCTAACTCTCTATCCCTCTCCCGTCCTCTCTGTAAAAAATCAATAAAATATTTTTTAAAAAATAGGATTTGAGGACAACATTGTAGCTGTCCCCTTCTCATCACTACCACCTTCCTCTCTACAGCGGTGCCCCTCTCTTGCCCGTGTCAGTCCCTGTTGCTGCTGTAAGGAAGTACCGCCGAGTCCCTGCCTGGGGGTCAGAAGTCTGAGATCAGTTTCACTGGGTTAGAAAATAAGGTGCCCGCTGGGCTGTGCTCCCTCTGGAGGCTCCGAGGGAGGACTTGCTCCCGGCCTTTTCCAGCTGCCAGCGACTGGGTTCGGGGATCCCTGGGCTCGTGACCACCCCGCCCTCGACTTCTGTTGTTACGCCTCCTCTCTCCATCATCACGTCCTCCCTGCACGTCTCTTTTAAGGGCTCGTGTAACGGCATTGGGCCCACCCAGGGAATCCAGGATGCTCTCCCCATTTCAAAACCCTAATCACATCTGCAGTGTTTTGTCACTCACAGGTTCCGGGGATTGGAACGTTGGCATCTTTGGGAGGAAGCGGGGGAGGTCATTATTTTGTTTCCTTAAGTGAAATTCATTGTTTTTAACTTTTCTTTTTTGTTTTATCAAAAGTTTGGTTTGGCCTGATTTTGAATTTTTTTTTCAAGACCCCGCTGTATGTATGTGTGTATGTATGTATGTATTTATTTATTTTTAAACTATTTTTTAATATATTTTTAATTGATTTTTTACAGCGAAGAAGGGAGAGGGATAGAGAGTTAGAAACATGAGAGAGAAACATCGATTAGCTACTCTATTTAACTGAATTTAAAATTCCATTGCTTTTAAGATTCATACAAATAAAGCTACCTATATCAGTGGTTCTCAACCTGGGCTGCACATGAGAATCACCTGGGAATCTTGTTAAAATCCTGATTCCTGGGCCTCATCCCCCGGAAATGCTGTTTCTTTATTACTAACATTGCGGCCCCACCCTATGAACAAAGAAACAGAATTTCCGGAGGACGAGGCCCAGGAATCAGGATTTTAACAAGATTCCCAGGTGATTCTCATGTGCAGCTGAGGTTGAGAACCACTGACCTATATACAGTGGGGCCTTGACTTACGAGTGTCCCGACTAACGAGTTTTTTGAGATACCAGCTGTCTCTCAGCCGAAGTTTTGCGTTGAGTTGACAGAGTAATTTGAGTTAACGAGCTCCTTAACGAGCTCGGTCTCCGAACGAATTAAACTCGCAAGTCAAGGCCCCACTGTAGTTGGCTTGCCTCCTTCACATGTCAGATGCATCCTGGTTGCCGTGTGTAATTGTGACTCATTCATGTTTTTGGCTGTTGTATACTATTTCCTTATACACGTACACCACGATGTCTGTATTCCCTCAGTACTGACGGACATGTGGTTGTTCCCAGTTTGAAGCTGGTTGCAGGAATAATGCTGCTGTCCACCTTCTCTTACATGGTTCCCAGATATATCTCAGAAGTGCAATTGCTGGGAGAAAACACTGACAGACAAACCTGCTTTCTGTTGGAACATGACTTTGGTTAACTTTCTTCCACCACTGTTTCCATGGAAACAGGCCGGGTTACGGTACGTATGGAACGCCAGCTGTGTTCCCAGGCAGCAATGTTCACTATGAAAATGACCCCGGAAAGGATTGGGAGTGGGTTCCTGGGTCCCACGGGCCTATGTGGCTGAGACTGAATAGAAACCTTGATTTCTCTGCGGGGTGTTTCTTACAACTGAGCATGCTCCTGGTGGGGCTTGGAAGCTACCCTCAGGGGTGGCACAGCATCGGCCCGTGGACTGGAGGGCGGCAGGTTCAATTGCGGTCAAGGGCACATACCTCCGTTGCAGGCTCCATCCTGGCTCTGGTTGGGGCATGTGTGTGAGGTGTCTCTCTCACATCGATGTTTCTCTCCCTCTGTCTCTCCCTCCCTTCTATTCTCTCTAAAAATCCATGGGAAATATCCTTGGGTGAGGATCAAAACAGAGAGAGAGAGAGAGAGAGAGAGAGAGAGAGAGAGTTCCTCTTGTGCATGAAGCTTCCCTCAGCCAGGGTGGGAAACGCCTGCCCACTCATGTAGTATCAGCCACCTGGAGGTGCTGAGCAGCAGCCTGGACACTCAGCGAAGATGTGTTCGATGCTCTCATGCTAAGATGCTGTTGTTTCTTGTCCTCCATCCTTCTACAAAGTTAACTGAACGTGATGCCCGATTATAGCCTCCTGGGTCCCAAAGGCTGCTTCTGGGGACTGTGCGGAGTGGATGCAATCCTGGATCTCAGGGCATGTCTATCTTCCAATGTAATCCTATATAATAAAAGGGTAATATGCAAATTGACCCTACTGGCCCCACACACAGAGGGCAACCCGTGGTGGGGGCAGGGCTGGTGAGTGGGCGGACGGCTGACCTCTCGGTTCCTCCCCCCAGCCAGCAGGCTCCAATCACCTGACGGCAAACGGGAAACAGGGGGTGGGTGTCGGTGGGGGGTGGGG